GGCAGACCTGGGCACGTGAGTCGCCCGCCGCTGCTCGCAGTCCGCCAGGTGATCGGTCGGTCCACGAGTACAAGCTGATCTGCGAGGTCTCGCGCGCGCTCCAGTGCATCGATCATTGCGCCTGGCGAACCTGGTGGGTGCCGAGCTCCTTGTCCGTCGCAAGAGTGTGCTGGAGGAGGCGCATTCGACGTCGCCAAGCAATCCGGACTACAACGCTGCCGACATCATGATGGGCTGGGCCGGTACCAGGGGCACGGGCAGCACGCCCGACTCGCTCTTCAGCTACACGGCGACCAGATTGAAGGATAAGGCGGCTATCTTGAAGGCGAGGAGGAAGGCTAGTTATTGATGAGTCCAGGCTCAGGGGCAAAGGGTAGCCTGGCAAGGGCAATGACGCGGCGACCAAGACGTAGGATGCCGAGTGCGGCCTCCCTGGTGCTCTGTCCCGTCTGCGCGTCTTCCTGATGTCCGACGGCCGCGTTGCTCCTCGTGAACTTCCACTTCTTCCGATACCCTCTTCATGGTCTACAGATTCCTGGCCGAGGCACCGTTGCAGGAGGCTGCAGCAACGCTTTGATCGCACGAAGGCAGTTCTGAGCCGCGCTTTCGACTCCGTCGAGGCTCTGAATTGATTGCATAGCGGGCGCCAGCCGCCTTCGTTTTCGAACCTTACCCTGTCACAGGGTACGGCGATCGTTCCACCGCCTTCTGGACGTCCATCGGGCTAACGTGCCTGTCGGTGTGAATGCCGAGGCAGTCCACGAGGAGTTGCTCGGCGCAGATCAGGACTGCGGTGGTGGTCCTGAGCTTCACGTCGCAAGTTGCAAGGACTTGTTCTCCTTGCCCCAGCTGGGGTCCGAGGCGGTGGACCTGGCCGCCGTGTTGGAGGTTGAGCCCAGAGAATGTCTCGTCAACTTTAAAGAGGAGATCTTGCTCGGCCCTGATGATTCGGGCTGCGTTGTGGAATGTGAGGAGTATGTGAAGTTGTGCATGGATTCAGTTTTGCAGGCTGACGCTGATGCATACTTCGACTTCGTGATGATGGGGTCACAGGTCTGGTCTGTTTCGATTTCGCCGACAGGTTCAAATTATTGTCATTCCATTCTGCGTGAAAAAAACAGAGTCTGGGCCCCTGGGGCTCATCCTTGGCTGCCGCCCCACGCGTCGTAGGATGCCCGAGAGCCCGTGCGTTCGGCTAGGGGGCCGGCTGATGTGTCGCGCCTCTTGCGCGCTCGTGACGACGGGGGCCCGTGCGTGGCCTTTGGTGGTGTCGCTGATTATGTTCATTGTTGCTGCCTTCCGCCAGGCCTAAGTCCATGCTTTTCCTTGCCCCCGGTGTCAGGGGTGCGACTTCTCCAGGCTGGCACCGATGAGGTTGATTGGGTTCCTGTCTTACGTGGCGTCAGGGTCTTCCCGCAATCCCAGGTTGTTCCCATGGGCTGGTCTTGGGCTTGCGTCTGCGCCCAGTCTGCTACTGCGTCCTTGGTGCACCGCTTTCCTGGGGGCGGGGATGACAGTCTATTTGAACCTTGCAAGAAGGCGGCTGAGGAAGGGGGCCCGGCACCTGCCGATTGCGCCGGCGGCGCTGGGGGCCCCGGCGTTCGTGACGAACAGGGCGGGAAGCGCTCGTCGTCGACCCAGCCCCAGGGCCGCCCGCCGACGGCGCGCGCGTCCATTTGGAGGCGAGGGGCAAGGAGGTGCCAGAGATGGTGGAGTTAAGCTTCGTGGGAGTCAGGGGCCGCAGAATCGGCTGGCTGTCATTCGTCGCCGAGATGCGAGGCCGACGCTCTGGGGGCTCTATCCCAGGCCATTACTGTCGGCGGCAGCGTCATCGAGTTCTGCCCCGGAACCCACGGCGGGGAGTTGCCAGTTCACGGACGTCCGATTGAGGGCTGCGGAGGAGGTGGAGAGAGAGGCTGGGGGAGACATTACGGAGCTGTACTCTGAGTGTGCCCCGAACGTGTTGGAGCTGTGCTCCGAACGTTCTGACGTTGTAGAATCATTTTTGGGGTTGGCGCCGCGGGGGCCAAAGTGTCTTGGGAAGGGGTGAAGGCCGTCTTAATGCCCTCGGGACGTGCCGAACTCGGGCTGGCGCGTCCCTCCGCGGCTTGAGGCGTTAGGTAGAGGCTGACGCCCTCCCGCGCGCGGAGTCCCCGCGCCGGGCCGGCCGCGGGGGGAGTCATTATTAACGCTCTCCTCGCTATCTTGTGCTGGGCCGCCTTTGCCCTCCAAGCGAGGGTTGGTGGCGCCATCTTATCAGCGTTGACGTCGTTATGAGCGCGGCTACGTCTGCTGTCAGGTGAAAAGGCTTGCGCGCGCCCGGCCCCCCGTCGGGTCCGCCGACAGGCTTGCGCATATCTTTTTATATATGTATATATATATATATAATATGTGTATATATATATATATATATATATATATATATATATATATATATATATATATATCGGAGGTGAGGGGGTGAGATTGAAGTGGGACGGAGAGCCCCCCTACCGGGAAATCGATTTCGGTCTCGTGTTCGTGCGCGCCGTGCGGGCGAGGCGAAGCTGCGTGGGCGGGCGAGAGAAAGTCTCCTGTGACTGAGGCGCGGCCGGATCAAATGACTCCCTTCCGGGCGGCCGGTGGCCCGCGGTGTCCCGCCCGTGTCCCGCCGGTGTCCCGTGTGGCTGAGGCGCGGCCGGACCAAATGACTCCCTTCCGGGCGGCCGGTGGCCCGCGGTGTCCCGCCGGTGCCCCGGGGTGTCCCGCGGTGTCCCGCGGTGTCCCGCGGTGTCCCGCGGTGCCCCGCCGGTGTCCCGCGGCGTTCCGCGATGATGATGATGATGATGATGATGAGATGATGATGATGATGGTGATGATGATGATGATGATGATGAGGTGATGATGATGATGGTGTCCCGATGAAGATGATGATGGTGTTGATGGTGGTGTCGATTATGATGATATTGTCGTGATGATGAGGATAATGATGCTCATGCTGATTATGCTGATGATGATGACGATGGTGGTGTCCCGATGAAGATGATGATGATGATGTTGATGATGGTGCCGATGATGATGATAGTGTCCCGATAATGAGGATGATGATGCTCATGCTGATTATGTTGATGATGATGACGATGATGGTGTCCCGATGATGATGATGGTGGTGATGATGATGATTCCGATGATGTTGGTGATGATGATGTTGATGGAAATGGTGTCCCGGCGATACTGATGTTGATGATGATGATGCTGATGATGGTTATGGTGTCCCGATGATGATGCTGATGATGATGATGGTGATGATGATGGTGATGATGATGGTGTCCCGATGATGATAATAATGATAGTGACGATGTTGATGATGATGCTGCTCATGATGATGATGGTGCCCCAATGATGATGATGATGTCGTTGATGATGATGATGATGATGATGATGTCGATGATGATGATGCGATGATCATGATGATGGTGGTGTCCCGAGCAGGATGACGATGTTGATGATAATGTTGGTGATGAGAACGATGGTGATCATGACTGTGTCCCGCTGATGATGATGATGGTGATGATGAGGATGATGATGACGATGACCGTGTCCCGATGATGATGATGCTGTTGATGATGATATGATGATGGTGATGATGATGATGACGATGCTGTCCCGATGATGATGCTGACGTTGATGATGGTGTTTATGATGATGATGATGACGGTGACCTCATGATGATGACGATGTTGGTGATGATGTTGATGTTGATGATGTTGACGATGCTGATAATGATGATGATGATGATGATGATGATGATGACGTTGATTGTGAGAGCGATTGTGATATCGATAGTGAGATCGATATTGAGACCGAATGTGAGATCGATTGTGGGATCGATTGAGATCGTTTGTGAGATCATTTGTGAGATCGATCGAATGAGATAGATCGAGTGATATCGATTGTGAGATCGATCGAGTGAGATCGATCGAGCGATACCGATAGTGAAATCGATACTGAGATCGATAGTGAGACCGATCGAGTGAGACGTTGGTTCCCCCCCCCGAACCTCCTTATCACCCGAAGGGTGGTCGTATAGGTATCGCAGAGTCGCTTAACGAACATCCTAACCATGGCGTCGAGTACATCCTTTCCGATATTCAACCGGAAGCTTACCAACAGGATCAAGTTAATACCCGAATCCATGATGAATCGGCAACACGCTTATAACGCGGCCTGCGGATGCCCGCCGCGGCCTGGCGCGGCCTCCGTGGAGGATCAGACGCGGTATTCGCGGGGATTGTGGATTGAGAAGGGCGCGATCCCTGATGGACGACACGGCTTGCGGATTCCCGCCGCGGTTTTGCGCGGCCTCCTTGGATGGGGCAGAGGGTGTTAGTAGCGCCTCGATCCCGCGGCCGCCTTGGCCCCCAAGGGGCGCGGCCCTCCGCCCCAGACCTTCCCATTCGGCTGCGCACAGAGTGACCTTTCGCCACAGTGACCTCTGGTGCGGGCCCACATGGGCCACCCGAGCGCTTGCGTGCCTGGATTTGGCGCCCACGCGGCCCCCGAAAACCGCGCACCAAATGTCATTGTTTCTTAGGGTCAGCCTTACGTGTAGCCGACCAATGGCCGCGGCGCCTGCGCGGCCCGCGCCGCGCCACCCCTGGTCGATGGCGGCGCGTGCGGCGGCGGCGGGCGAGGCTCGCGCCAGGCCGCCCGCGCCGAGGGTCGCCGCGCGCGCGCGCGGCGCGCGGGCCTCGGAGGCCGCGCCGTGGGCGCCGCCGCCGCGGGCGCGCGCGGGCGCGGCCTGCGCGTTCGCCTCCGCGGTGGGCTCCCGTGCTCGCGAGCGTGGGGCGGCGCGCCGTCGGTGCGGCGGGCGGCGCGCCGTTGCGGCGACTCCGAAGGGTGTGGTTTGCACATGGTGTGGTTTGCCACCCGCACCCTGGGCTGCGTTGTTTTTTTCGGCCTGGGGGACGCCACGTTGGCTTCGTCGGGCTTCCTCTGGGCGCGGCGGAAAACTCTGTCGAAGTCCCCACCCGCACCCCCAGGGTGTGGGTGGGAAACCACACCCTGTGCAAACCACAACCTTCGGAGTCGCCGACCGTCGTGTGCGCAGCGGGCGGCGGGCTGCCCGCGTTCGACGCGGGCAGGGCCGCGGCGCCGGGGAGCGACCTCGTCGTGACGACGGCGAGAGCGCCGTCGCCGGACGGTCGGGGGGTGGAAGGTCCGCGCGGGCTTCGATCTGCACCCCCCCGCCGCCATTTTCTGTGCGCCACTGCTCGGGCCCTCCTGGCGGTCGGGCGTTGCCAGAAGTGTCCCTGGCCCAAGGCGTCCCAGGGTTTGTCAGGAGGTCCCCACGGCCTGCAGAGCTCTTGGTTCGCCTGCCCGCCCTCCTGCCGCGTCCCGCCAGCCATGGCCTCCGGCCTCCGCGTCCGTCGTCGTCTGCTTGCTTCTCGCTTCCTCTCCTTCGCCGGGCTGTACTGGCAGTCGTGTGTCAGCGGCAGCGCGCGCCAGGAAGCGCGAGGACCTCTGGTGAGCTCTTCGGCCGTCCTGGCCTCGAGGTCCGTGGGCGCAGCGCGTGCCCCCGTCGCTGGACGGAGCAGCGACACCACCACCACCAAGGGGCCCACCTTCAGCGAGGAAGTCCATGATGCCTTCCCAAGCGGGGGATCGGGGATGTCTCGAGCGAGAGGTGGAGACCACACCGCCAGGGGGACCCCCCCCCCCTGGCTCCTCCCGCTTGAGGCCCCTGGTGGTGGTGGTGCCGCGTTTCCCTGATCCTGCACTTGGGTTATGATATCTCGGCTCCGCCAGCCCACCCTCTTAGGCGGGGACAGGCCCCGAGACCCCTGCAGGAACAGGCATACATCCCCACCGAGGCGGTTTAGCCGACCAGTGAGGCCAATGCCACGCCAGTGTGCGGAGAGGGATCGGTTAACCCCGAGGGGTCCTTAATGCTGATCCTCCCCCCCCCCCCCGAAAGCTCTCGCCTTGCAATTCAACTCGTCTTTCCCCTCCTCGTCCTCCTCCTCGCCCTCCCACGCAATGGGTGTTTTCTGCTCAGCATGTGCGTGCAAGGAGCAGGAGCGGTGGCCGCCGAGGGGGAATACTTATTTTCCAACAAACAGTTGGAGGTCCCAATCCGCCAAGTTAGCACGCGCAACAATAAATTGTTTTTTCCATTATTCGGGGGGTTGAAGACCCAACGCGGTCAAACAATGCTCACAGATGCGCGGTGGTGGATTTGCGCGGTCCGTCCTGGTGGTGCCGTGCTTCCTGTGTTTCTACCGTGGGCGGGTCTGGGGGGCTGCGGCGCTTGGCTTAAGTCGGGCATGTCCCTCCACGGGAGTAATTGTCAAGAACAGTAGGAAAACAGCCTGTTGACGATATTTCAGATAATCATTTCTCATTTTCCTTTCCAGATTCGCCTGTAGGAGGACATGCCCGAGCCGACGCGTGGCACCTCCTCCCTGCCCCCTCCCCCGCAGGATATCGAGGCGCAGGCGGCCGAGGTGAGTGCGCGCCTGGGCGCGCGGCTCGTGGTCCGCGGGAGGAGGCCCTTGCTGGACGTGCTCGCGGAGTCGAGGTCGGGCCTGGCGTACCTCGTGGGGGGCGCGAATTGGAAGGATCATGGGCAGCGTCAGGGGGGCATGGGCTCAGGGTTCGAGGTTCGAGGCTTGCGGACGCTTTCGTCGGTCATCCGCAGCTTTCCAGCCTCGGGGTGCTCTCCAGCAGCTGCGCCTCGCCGAGTGCGTTCCGAGGCTGTCCGGATCGTCCCGAACGGCCGCCAGGGATCCGCGCTAGGCTCCGAAAGCCTGGGTGCAAAGTCAGGAGCTGGATATGCCCAGGGGGGAACGCATCGACCCCCAATCGCCCATTCTCCGCCTATACGGGCCCGGTGACTCCACATCGCCCAGGATCGCGCGGACTCGTTATGGAGAGCCTATTGCCGATCTCTCGGCAATGTATCGCCGATTCCAGGCCGATGTCCCCCCCCTGAGCCAGTCCCCTCCTCTATGTCGATGCCCCTCAGAGGAGCGCGCGGAGGTCCGACACGAGATCTGTGATGGCCGCGGGGGCCGCGTGTTCGTCAACCCACGCATGTGGAGGATCATTCCCGAAGTGTCGAGTAGGGCATCGACTACAGAATTGATTCGCCTCGTAATTGTTTCTCTTTTGTAGGACCTATAAAAACCAACATGTGAAGTACTTCTCGTATATTCGACGGACAATTCTAGTCTGGGGTAGATCAATTCTGTAGTCGATCTCCTACTCGACGCATGTGGAGGATCATCCCCGACGTGATGCGCCAGCCGCTGATCCAGGCCGTCGCGCCGGCCGGCGAGCCGCCGCCTGGGGACGTCGTCGATGCCACCGCGGGCCTCGGGGGCACGTCGCTGCGCATCGCGCACGCCTGCGGCGCGCGGTGCGCAGGAGAGGAACAGACACGGCCGCCTTAGAAACTGGAGCGCCCGCCGGAAGCGGGGGAAGCCAAGGCAGCAATGGAATGTTTCTGCCCACCCCCCCACGCAATAGGTGTGATGGTTGTTCTTCCTTCACCTCCTGTCATTTCTCTTTTTCCCGGCGTTTTCTGCACGCTTCTTGCGTACGAATTTCCTTGGTTCTGCGAGTGCTTTAGACGCACCCTTCTTTCTGTCCACGCGTCCTATAGGATGCACGGCTTGCTTGAGTTGAGTTGAGGTTCGCGTCCTGTCGACGCGGCGGCGACCCCGCCGCGGGCGCTCAATGTTGAACGCCGCTGGCGACCCAGAATCTGTCGATGTTGAACGATCTGACCTTTCGGATGCGGCACGGGAGGAGGAGGAGGAGGAGGAGGAGGAGGAGGAGGAGGAGGAGGAGGAGGAGGAGGAGAGAGAGGAGGAGGAGGAGGAGGAGGAGGAGGAGGAGAGAGGAGGGAGGAGGAGGAGGAGGAGGAGGAGGAGGAGGAGGAGGAGGGAGGAGGAGAGGAGGAGGAGGAGGAGGAGAGGAGGAGGGGGGAGGGGGAGGGGGAGGAGGAGGAGGAGGAGGAGAGGAGGAGGAGGGGAGGAGGAGGAGGAGGAGGAGGAGGAGGAGGAGGAGGAGGAGGAGGAGGAGAGGAGGAAGGAGGAGGAGGAGGGGAGGAGGGAGGAGGAGGAGGAGGAGGAGGAGGAGGAGGAGGAGGAGGAGGAGGGGAGGAGGAGGGGGAGAGCGGGGAGGAGGAGGAGAAGGAGGAGGAGGAGGAGGTGGAGGAGGAGGAGGAGGAGGAGGAGCGGTATGGTTACCTTTCCGTTTCCCTGGGTGAGCGACGCAAATCAACGGGGTCGTCTGCGCCGACATTCGCGCGTAGGGTGCCCGCGCAAGGTCGTGCGTGAGCGCCCTCGTCCTCAACGTAGCGTGCCGCGATGGCGGCCCGCGTAAGCGGCCGCGTGAGGTCGCTACGTCATTTTGCGTAAGACCCGTTTTTGATTGTCGCTCAGGTGCAGGCTCACCGCGTGCGAGATCTCGGCGCCGCTGGCGTGCCTGCTGGACTTCGGGCTGCGGCGGCTGGCGGCGCAGGTCGGGGGCCCTCAGACGGTGTGGTAACCACGCAGCGTGGTGAGTCGGTGGGGACTCGGGGCCACCGCACGGATTTGGGACTCGGGTCGTTCTTCGGGGACGTCTCGGGCGACTGGTGCCTCCAAGGTCCCAAAACCATGTGGTGACGGATAGCGCGGTGAGGTCTTCGGAGACTCCGAGGTCACCACGTGGTCCGTCACCATACGGTTTTGGGGGCCCGAAGCAGGGCGAGGAGTGGTCGGAGCCGGCCTCGCGCGTGCGGGCTGTGCATGCGGACGCGCTCGAGCTGCTGAGCGCCCGCGCCCTTGCCCCGCCCGCAGATCGGCCAGACGTGGTGTACCTGAACCCCTGCATGGACCTCGGCAGCGCCTCCGCCGAGGACGCATTCCTGCACCGGGTGGCCAGCCTGCGCCCGATCGCCCAGGATCAAAGGAGGAGGCACGCTGACCATGGCCGAGGTGTCGCGGGATCTCGTCGACGCCGATCTTGGTTATGGCCCGTGCCAGCCGTCGCCGAGCCGCGAGGATGATCCCTGGATCGATGGTGACCGAGATGGACGGTGACCAGGATCGGCACCGACGACTTCGCGATCAGCCTTGGTCGTGGTCCTCCTTCTCCTTCTCCCTGCAGGACGTCTTCGAGGCCGCCGTGGCGTGCGCCCGGCGCCGCGTGGTGCTGCGGCACCAGCGCGGCCTGCCGCCGCCGTTCGGGCTCCGGGACGGCGCCCCGGCGACCCGCGTGGTGCGCGGCGGGCAGAGCGACTTCCTCGTGCTGGAGGTGTGAGCGGAGGGCCCAGGCGCGGCGGCCCGCGCGCTGCGCACGCGCGGGGTGCCGCGCGCGGCGATTGGAGACCGTCCGGGGGGAAAACTCGTCCATAGGAGGGTGAGGAAGAGGAAGGAAGCGAACGGTACTATGGATCAGCGTATTACAACCAAGAGTGCTGCTTAGACGAACAGCAAGAGACATAGGAACAATGAGGACGAATGCGATTCATGCTGGTAAGGGTATTTTTGATAATGTGAAGTCGTGGCATCCAAGTGGTGGGGTGTGGACGCGAAGCAAGCGTGGCTGGGAGGGAGACAGAACTAACAGTGTCCAGAAGGCCGTGCCCGTTTGGCATCTTGAAGCTACTCGCGCGGCTGCAGCAGCCCCACGGAAGTAGCGCCTCAAAACCAGCGTCCGCCCCTGCGCCGGCGTTGGCCTAGGCCCGCCATTCCTGCCATGTCGCTGCTGCCATTCTGATGTTTGCATGGCGTGTACAGTAGGAGCAGCAGGAGGAGGAGGATGAGGAGGAGGAGGAGGAGGAGTAGGAGTAGGAGGAGGAGGAGGAGGACCATTGTAAACCCAAGGCCCATCAACGATATTGCAATCATCTTCCTCCACGTTTCCTCTTCATAGGCTCGACACGGATTCATTCCACTGAGGGAGATGCCCCGTTGGGAGAGAACAATTTGAACATTTGGAATTGCTTCTTGGGGCTCCAACAACGCGAATCAACGTGACTGTCGCGCCCTGACATCCCGACATCGTGCCAAAACACTATTTCTGGGACGCTAGCCATGCGAATTCTTGAAACTCTTGCCAACTCTTAAGACGAATTTGCGCGGCGCTCAAGCGAGAGCCACACTTCCAAAAAGGATCCGCCTTCTATCTGTGAAGCTCTTGCGAAGTTTTAGAACGAATGTGTGCGGCGCTAAAGCGAGAACCACATTTTGAAAACGGACGCCCTCCATCCATGAAATTTTTGCGTTTTCTAAAGGAGTGCGCCCGGCGCGTAGGCGAGAGGCGCATGTTGAAAAACGGACCGCCTTCAATCCGTGAAGTTCTTGCAAGTTGTGAAGACGAGCGTGCGCGGCGCTAAGGCGAGAGCCACATTTTGAAGCTGGACCGCCCGCCATCCGTTAAGCTCTTGCAAGTTTCAAGTCCCAAGATCTTAATTGGTGAGGGTAGGTTTCTCCAGCGAAGCGCCTGGCCCGCCTTTTCGACAGGCCTCGGGGTGCGACAGAGGGTATTCCTTGGGAAAAGTAAGTGCGGAGGAGGAGGAAGGAGGAGGATGAGGAGGAGGAGGACCAGTGTAAACCCAAGACTCACCAAGGATATTGCAATAACCCCTCCCTCAAAGTTCCCTCTTCATCGGCTCCCACACGGATCTCTTTTCACTGAGGGAAATGCCTCGTTGGGAGACAACCGTGTATAAATTTTGAAGCGTGCCAAGACAACGTTCTCAGGACTTCAACGCCACGAGTCAATCTGACTGTTGCGTCTCGACGGTCCTGAATCTTGCCGGAACACCATTCTTGGGCCTTCAATGCCGTGAATCAACGTAACTGGTGCGCCCTGACCATCCTGAGTGGTTCGCAAGCACAAGTTTTAGAAGGTTAACCAGGGGAGCCAGCGCAACATTTGCAATTGTTGTACGGCGAATGTGCGCGGTGCTCAGGCGACAGCCACATTTTGAGCACTACCCGCCCTCAATCCGTGAATCTCTATCAAACGGTAATTACCCTGCGACGTACCCAACCCATTTGCATCAAGTGGCCCGATGAATCGGCAAGTATCGCCGTGAAGAACGACAGTGCAAGCGCGATGTGTGTATGTGCGCGCTAGATGGGATGCGCATATAGTGCACGACCAGAGGGCAACGATCAGATGGACGAGACTGTAGGGTCTACGCTCGAAGAAGGACGGGGGTGAGGACGAGGGGCAGGGGAATTATGAGGAACGGGCGCGAGCGAGAAGCCAGCGCAAGACGCAGCGGCAGGGAGAAGGGCACACGGGGAAGAGGACCACGACGAGAGAGGTGAGACGAGAAAGAGGACCACGCGTTTCCAGCAGTGCGCTGAAGATGCAGCGCTGCCTGCGTCATTTTGATAGTTAACGCAAAAAGCGGGCGAAGCCTAGCTCGCCCGCTAGCTTCTCCGCCTCCTTCTTGCACTTCTCAGTGCGGGAGTTAAACGCCCGCAGGCGCGCCGCCAGGTCTGCGGGCGGGCCGCGGGATAGGAACTCAAGATCGGGTTGGCGCACCATCAGTAGGTTGGCCACCGTCGCCGCCCTGGACAGCATCACGTACAGATGTAGCCAGAGCGCGTCCTTGTCCTCCGCGTCCTCCCAGCAGCCCTCGAACGTGGCAACAGTTTCGCATATCGCAGCCCCGAAGGGATGGCGCGCTACAATTTCAGTCTGCGGCAAGTACCCACTATGCTGGCCCTCCCAGCAGCCCTCGAAAGTGGCGACAGTTTCGCAGATCGCGGCCCCCCGCCGACGCCAGCATCCCCGTCGCCAGCCCCAGCTCCGACGCCAGCACCGCCCCCAACACCCACGGCAGTAATCAAGCCCACGCCCTCATGGCCATGATGGGCCAGATGGTTGGGCAACCACCTTTCGGCCAGTATGACGACCACGAGCTGGACCACGAGGACCAAGAGGACATCCACGAGGACCAAGAGGGCATCCACGAGGACCAAGAGGACATCTACGATAATAAGAGGACATCCACGAGGACCCAGAGGATTTCCATGAAGACCCAGAGGACATCCACGAGGATCCACAGGACATCCACGAGGACTAAGAGGACATCCGCGAGGACCAAGAGAACAACCAACCACGAGGACCCAGAGGACATCCACGAGGACCCAGAGGACCTCCACGAGGACCCAGAGGACACCCACGAGGAGCAGGAACAGCACGACGTGGACTGGCAGCGCCACGTCCACGTCGAGGGGCAGCACGACCACGGCCAGGAGCAGGACGACAGCGACATCGCTGGGGGGGCAGGATTTGTCCGCCCACTGTTGTGGCACCCACTGTTGTGGCACCCGCTGCTGCTCCCAGGTCAGCGGTTCCGGCCGCCATGCTGGTCCAGGCGCTCTTGGCGCCGTCCCCGGCGCCCACCGTCGCTGCCGCTGCCGTCGCTGCCGGCGGAGGTGCCGACCACAGCCAGGATTTCCAGGATGACGACCGCCGCGGCCGGAGCATCGACAACGGTCAGGGCGACCTCCGCGGCCGGTGCGACCACCGCGTCTGGAGCATCGACAACTTCCAGGATGACGAACCAGCCGTCCAGCGCACCGCTGACCCCAACTACGACCATACGCGGCCGGCCCATGACGGCGAGCAAGACGTCCACAACGATCACGACGCCCACGACAGCCATGACCGCGCCATCGCCTCCAGCGGCCATGGCCCGCAGCAGTTCGACCCGAGCCCGGGGCCAATGCCTGGTTTTTCAGCCATGCTCATAGAACGTGCGGCACCCGCGCCGGCGGAAACTGTGACACCAGTTTTGGCCACGCTAGCCGACTCCGGTACCAGATCCGATACCGGGTCCGGCACCGCCGCCAGCGGCATCGTCGCCAGCACCAACTCCAGCACCTACACATCCACCACGACAACGACGTCGAGACGAAGGAATGCTAATTTTTTGGATCAGTTGGATTCTGTGTAACTCTGGCATTTGTCCAAATCGTGTGGCCGCACGGGCCTGCAAATCCTGCCCCCCCCTCGCACGTCCTCCGGCACCGACTGGCGTCGACCCCAGCAGCACCGACGCCAGCACCGAACCGGGCATCGACACCGGCAGACTCCAGCCTGGACTCCGACACCGACGTCAACAACGTCGACGCCGGCACCGACTCCGTCACCGAGCTCGGCACCGATTCCAACAGCAACGGCGCCTGCCTTTCTGACCGGTGTGGGCGACTCCAACTGGGGCCGGGATGGGGGTGCGGCCTGGTTCTGCTTTGTTGCTTCCTTGATGGGCGGGCGGGCGAATGTCCAGACCGTTGCGCTCGAAGCCCATGCGCAGGAAGATTTATATACGCGTCGGCTCCCGCATCGCCCAGCTCACCGACTCCTGCACCGACCAGCTCGCCGATTCCTGCGCCGACCATCGCACCATCACAGCAGCGAAGTGGTGAGATTTATTCTCTCCGAGCCGATGTCGAGGACTCCCGCGATGACCAGCTCCCTAACTCCCACACCGACCAGCTTGGCGGCTCCCGCGCCGACCAGCTCACCGACCCCCACGCCGACCAGCTCACCGACCCCCCGGCGTGGCGAGCGGCGCCGCTGTGAGCAGTATGACGGCGGCCCGACTCCGACGCAGGCAAATTTGCCAGCCTCCGACACACCGACTCCGGAGGTTTCCACCAGCTCAATACTCCGTCCCCCAGCCTCCAGCATCCGACGTACCAGTTCCACCGTGAGACGTCCGCCACTCCAACTGCCGCTGCCGCCGCCGTCATTCCAGCTTCCGCGAGCACCGCGGAACTACCGCGACTAACGCAACGCGCGACCTCGACCACCACAACCACGACCACCCCGACATCGACGACGACTAACGCAACGCCCACGACCAACACGACCACGACCACCGCTAAGACCACGACGACCACCACCACGACCACGACACCTGGACCACCACGACCAGCACCGAGATTACGCAACGCACGACCATTGCCGACGCCACGACCTCGACCTCGACAACGACGATTCGATCACGACAATGACGACCACCACCACGGTCACCACTGACCGACACCAGCGTGACATTCTGACATCCAGGAGTGGCGCGGGCACAACGACGTGCCCAGGTGGGAGCAGTACAAGTGAGGCGAGCAGGGTTGGTGTGCTCCCCACCCCTCTTTTCCCCTCCCCTCCTCCCTCCGCCGCCTCTTCAATTGGCGCATGGGGCGCCTCGTGCAACTTGGGGCTGCTGGTGGGCTGTGGGCCGCCCGGTCCTGCGAGTCGCTTCCGTAATTAGGAGGCCGCTCCTGGCCCGCGCAGTCGCCGTCACCGGCGTGTCTCCATGCGGCCTCGCCGCACCCGCGTAGCTTAGCTTTGCTTTTACATCTTATCTGGTGTGCGATCCTCGCCCAGTTTCCTCGCGTCTTGTTTCGGCGCCCCACTCATACAGGGA